GTGTTGGACTCGTTTATATTTTCCTATGCTCGTTTGTAGTGGCATGCCGGTTCAGTGTGATAACACTGTAAACGCCTCGGTCAATAGCCTCGTTATCCATAATCCACTTATCCGTTAATGAATGATATTGATGAGGCTTAAAAACAACAGACGGAAAATTTATATTAATGATAAGTATGTGCTTTCTCTTCAACATTTTAGAAAACGAATCTGATGTATATGGTAAAAGAAAAATATGAAGACGCATGCATATACTTAATATTTTCTTCTATGGAATGACTTTCTTTTTACTGAAGTGAGTTTAATATACATTGTAGAAAGTCTTTCCGGCAGATAAGGTTGTGGAAATGAAGTCGTTTGGCATACAACTAGACATGCACATACTTTTCTAGAAATCTATCTGTCAAAACAGCTGTCTCTGTGGTTAATTCTGTAATCACAAATTTAAAAAATAAAAACTTAAAATGATGTATGTTCTGTAGGTTTTAGAAAGTTGAGGACCTACATCGTTTTGTCCTTGATATCGATTTTACTGTCACGCGGGCCCTACACGTGTCGTAAGAAAAAACCACCAACTTGCCTTTCGGTTTCCCGTGAGGAATCACGTGTTTCCTGTTTGTTGTTCTGCTTTCCGTTGTCTTTAATTTCAGTTTGGAAACAGGCAACTACTCTACGTTCGTTTAAATTTCATTTGAAGCTGTTGATGTTGTTTTTTTAATTACTTTTTGCAATCTGCATTATGTGATCGATTTTTGTGATATTTCAACCTATAACTGCGTTGCAGTTTTGTCACTAATTGACCCGTTTTTTAACGTAAACTAATTATTTCATTTAAGGAATATTCCCTTTCCAATATCAGCAAATTGAAAAGATATATTCGGTGTAATTGTAATTCAGAATAAGGGTAATGAGAGATCAAATTTAATTATCATCTAGTAATGCCTTATCTGCGGGTTAAGGGCTAATCGTAAAATTTCAAAATATAACGTTGTACTAAGTGTGTACATAAATATAAAGAAAAATATGTTCAAGGTTGGAAAGATGCCAAGTATTAAGATTTCCAAATTTAGAGTCGGAGTACTGTGTACCTACTGTATCCGGATATTATCAGAATACATTCGATGACAGTCATAATTACTCTATTTTCTTACTATTTGATTCAATAGAAACACTGTGATATCTGTTCGACAATAGTGTACTTTTATTTAACGAGTGCAACGAATCACCTGGAAACCAGCAATTCAAAGAAATATATTTGTATTTAAAAAAAAAAAAAAAAGGGGGAGGGGAGGTTGGGAGAAGGGAGGGTGGTTTCAGTCGTCCATTGTTATTTATCCAGCAACTGACACCGCCGTTGTCGGAATACTTTTGCCACATGTGTTTTTTGTTGTATTGGGCACTGGCGGAAAACAGCTGTTGTAGCACGTGCGGTAATTACTTAAATATTACGTTTAAGAATTTGAATCGCTGTTGAAATAATCGATTTTACATATTATAACGAACATGTTAATATGTTAATCTATGAAAATTCATAAAATCGCTGTTATATCAGATAAAGTTTGGAATTATATTTCCGTGCGGAGTAATTACTTTGGCGTAACATCACTTTCAGGTAAACATAGATTGAACAACAAAACTGTGTACGTTTCAATAGTTTGATTTCAATTAATGTTGCAGGATAAATAAAATTCATGGCCAATGTCTTGGCGAGGGTGAAGGAAGACCAAAGAGGCGAGCCAGTTTTGTCTATCTGTCTCGTGCCAAAATACAGCTTATATTTAAAGACAATGACCGTGTATTCTCAATATATTGTATTGGGTTTTCTTAAGAAATTGGCATCGTAATAACCTTGGAGAAAATCAATATTCCAATATTGAAAGAATCACCATAAATCAGTAACCTTATGCTAAGTACGTCATACAGTATGTAGCAATAGGATTATATAGAGAATTTCAAGGCTCCGCTCTTTTATACTTTAACTGTATAGATTCTGTAACCATATAGCCGGACTCAACATTCACTAAAGAGTTCACTAACGTCCTATGAACAGTAAAGAATACGTATAGCCATGATGAATTTGTTGACTATACAGCAACGTATTATTGTGTAAGAGAACCGGAAGTAGGCGCACCAATCCCTGCAAGGTTGTAAAATCTATAAATGTGTCCAAATTTGTATAACTTTTTATATTTGTATAACTTTTTTCAATTTACAGTATTTTGATATATGTTTGAGCATTGAAAAGTTATATCAGTTGATAGCTTTAACTATTGTTTTGATATACTATTTAAGAAATAGAGAGCTTTGTCGTATACCAATGGTTCGCTTTGTTAAAGATATCGTATCACAGACCCTAGGGATCTTTTGAAAGTTCAAGAATATTTCAAAGATAGTTCCTCAAGATCCTACATGTAACACACCGTTAACTTTAAATTGGTTCTAAAGGGGAAATTTTTTTTCCTTTAGTAGTCATACGCATTCACTCCTATGGTTGAAGACTTTAGCAACTATATTGAAACCACGTTGTATATGCTTCTTTTGTCAGTGTTACAAAAAACAAACAGGTTTTTAATAATAAATTTGAATTAGAAAATTTGTTCGGCAATCAAATCAAGTTTTCATCCAATACAGATATTGGTTCCTATATTTGATATGTGATCTCTGGAAGCTGTCTCGGCATTTTCAAATAAGTTGGCCTAAAAGGAAGGAAAAAAGAAAAGAAAAAATCAAATCGAAATTTTTTAAGACACATTTATCACTTGATCTAAAATTCAGGCAAATATAGTTTAAATGAACATCTCCCCGTCAAGCTTGAAGTCAAGTCCATTGTATATTCATGGTCTTTATGGTTACGTCACAATGTATTCTATTAGTGAGTTTGTGACGTAATTTTGCTTTCTGAACCTGATACCATAAGAGGTTATATAATTAATAATAAGTCAACTATATGATAAAAAACTACAGGAATTAGCATAACAAAACACCTTTTATTCAAAGTTAAAACCTTGTTGTGAAGTTTAAAATGTGTTTTAATACTGAATTTTGAATACCATCTCGATTGTGAAGGTGATTATTGTATCATTGTCTTTGCTGTTATCAGAGCAATATGCACTTATTTCCCTATAAAAGACATGAGATGAACTTTATAATCGATCCCTATTTTCCCAATACCGTTCTAGCTCTTAGTATCAGCGTGTATTGGGAAAAATTAGCAACTGTGCTTGAGAACATTGAAAGACAATATCTATAGATTGCAATCCTTTCTCCATCCTTCCAATGCCGTAAAACGGGTTTTTTTCTCAGTAAACGTAATGCATAAAAAATATATATCACAACCCCGCATCAAAATACTTGTCCCCCAGGAAAATCTTGACTTGTAACGCACGGAACAAAGAGAGATGACACTGAAACCGTACCTGAAGAAAGTTTCCAAGAAACGCTTCAGGTTAACTAACAATTAAACCTTCAACTTGTGATTGTCTTAATGAAACAGAGCATAACATTAAAGTGAGATTTCTGGAACACAAAGAAAGATATGATTAAACAAAGATAATTTAACTTTATTTGCAGTAATTTGAGAACATACTTATGTCAACAACAAGCATTACATTTTTGTAAATATAATGATTTAAAAATCATTTAACACATTCAATCAACAATATGAGCAAAGACGTTATGTATAACGATATCAGATAAAGGACAAATTTCAAATCTTCGTTGAAGCAATTCACTTCGCCAGTATACTGTACTCATTTTAACGGTATCTTGGCATTAGTGTCTTTCTCGCTCAAGTCATTCTGCTAATTCAAATACATTGCTTAAATGCCTTCATCCTGTCTGTGTGTGTCGGAAAAGAATGTTATCGCTAATTTAAGCGTTCTTCTTTTCGTCTTTGTGTGAATTTAAGATTAAGATCTAACCCTCCTAAAAGCGATAAGATAACAGCTCGCTAATGCTAATATTCACACAGTAATCTACATACCAGGTACCGTTCATTCTCAATGTTGATAATTACTAGTTAGTATACCAATAATTAGGACTTTGTCAATATCACATTATGCCTGTGTTAACTACCTGTGGTTTAGTCATCTCAATGTATAAATTGTTATTTCTATAAAAAAAAAAAAACTGAGTCAGTTCATTACCCCTGGATATACAAAAAAAAAACTTACCGTAACCTCCTCAATTATAATCATTGTTTGGAGTAAGTTTTTAGAGAACATTATATTTTAGTATGCCATTTCTATCGTACTTGGTAACGCGAGACCTACAAACATTTGGAATGTATAGTGATTTGATTTCTAAATGTTAAATCTTAGAATGGGCATGAGTTCTGTCGATATATATATAACATTGATGATTACTCGCAAATATTTGCAATGGATTAGAAATCGTGGAATCATTATCCTAAATAAATTGTGTATTTGCCATTGTGACGTCACTATTTTTTTTTTTTTTACTTGTCAACGATATTGTGTCTTAAAATAAAGCAATTTTTTTCATCAAATAATCGTATAATACTTTTCATTGGTTATTTGATCATGACGTCATCGTCGTCATAACTACTTCTCACGATACGTTCTCATAGTAACCATTTTATGGCGTTTGTCTATAAAGCAATTTGTTAGCTATTCAAATAATGACGTCATGGTTAAAATATTTAGTAACGTTTACTAAACTAGACATATTTGCCATACTTTCATGACAGTGCATCAATTACACCGATAAAAATTTGTAACCGGTCCACCCTATATCAATATCGTTACTCAGCACCATTGGAACGCACAGGTATATATGACGTCACGGTGATAATCTCTGTTTATATTATCTTATAAAATGATATCCTTCTGTCCGTTCACGACTTAGTCGTTGATGTTCTTCCTCAATGAGCACCATAATATTTTATATGACGTCAAACGATATCTTATGCAGCCGACTTATTTTTTCGTTTTGATTAAAATCCTGTATTCATTATTCTGTGATATGACGTCAAACATAATTCACATGACACTATCGCACGTGATATGTTCATTGTCATTATCCTTCGCGGAACACCGGGAATAACTTACCCGGTCATGCACGTACAATTTCTCTTTAGACAGAAAACGTACCCGTAGTTTAAAACCATTGGTATTTGCTTCTGCAATGATACAACCATGTGATGAGCGCCCTCTATCGAAGGATCCACTACTGGATGACGAGTTTGGTTCTTTGAGTTTGAGCATACCACGATTCGTACATTTAAAATCCCCTGAAACTGTTAAGCAATCAGAAGCATTGTTGTAGATCTCTTCACTTTGTCTAGTGTTAATCCGACTCGGACAGAAAACTTCCATTAATCCCCTTTTAATCTGTATATTGAAAAATCCATAGATCAACGGGTTTAAAGCACTTTGTAAAAGAGTTGACGTCTCGGCGAACGCCATGACTGACGGCGAAAATTTGTATGTGTAGTTACTATAGATCCTAATAAGGGTCGTCACAAAATATGGTGTCCAACACGCGATAAAACTAATTATGATACAGAATGTCATTTTGACCGTCTTGATTTTAGCCCTCGGTATTGCGCTTGTATTGACGATGGATTTCCGTAGAGAACAAGTGTTTGTGCCGTTGATCAGTTTGCCTTGTCTCCAAACGACTATCACCACGTTTACATAACAATAGGATAACAAAATAGCAGGAACAATTAGAATATACATTGTCATGAACATAAAATATATCTTCCGCTGCCACATAGCTGTATATCCTTGACTTCGGCAGCCATATTGAATTTCTCCATTCGGAAGAACCTCATCAACGGTTTGTACGAAAATAAGAAGCTGCGGAACCGCGAATATAAACGCAAGCGTCCATGAGATGATGATCATCCGCCGGGCTCTTGTGTGTGAACTTCGGAATTTTAGAGGACGGCAGATAGCCATATATCGATCGAAGCCCATAGAAGTCAAAATGAAAGTTGTACTAGCTAGCGTCACCACTTGGACATAGGTTAGAATCTTACATGCTGCAGCTCCGAGGACCCATTCCCCGAACGCCACAAACAATATTTCTGTTGTCATGGTTACCACACAAACAGTCAGGTCGCCAACAGCTAGATTTATGATGAATATATTGACACGGCTATTTCTCTTTCTGTACCTGCTGCACGTGAGGATGATAATGATGACGGTGTTGCCGACAAGCGTCAGGACCATGATGACAACTATAGACGCTACACGTTGGATGACGTCAGGTGTCCATATCTCTATATCCCCTTCCTTTACGTTTTCTATCTCGGATAAATTTTTATGACATATTGTCCTCGAAGCATTATGAACACAGTAAATTTCAACGACGTTTTTATCCCACTCTTCCATAATGTCATAAAAACATTCGTATCCACTCAAAACGAAGTAATGTTGGAGGTGTCATATCTCAAAAATGTCTAGTCATTGTGTAAATTATCTTTGTCGTATCATACCTTTGGGTCCTACAATGCAAGTATTTGAAATAATCCTTATGGAGAGGTCTTGAACATGTGCTTCAGACAGCCATCCTGAAATAACAAGACATACATTTTAGAGTACAGTTGAAAATTGTACAAAATGGCATAAGCGAATATCATCTTTTAATATAAATTTAGAGTTGCATTACTTGTGATTGAAAGTTTTATCTCGAACTCGTAAATGAACAATACTGTACATGGGCTAGATTACATTAATTTCCTATATTGACGGCTGTTAAATATAACTTTGGCTCTCATTTACAACCATATCAAACCAAAAAAGCAATTGTTTGCTTCTTTTTTTACAGAATTTTATTTTTTGTCTTGTTTTGATGATTAGAAAAGACGTTTATGCTAATTTAAAGTTACAAATATACGTCTTTGCTTTTTATTGAAGTAAAGTTTTATGCCCTCTACAAAAAGCCTTGTAGTCTCAATCAGGAAATGGTTGGCATAACAAATCATCAGATCAATATGATTTCTCTTTTCATCTTTTTTGTAGAAATCTTTAACATTCGATTCTAAAGAATACAATGTTTCATTTGCTTTCTTAGAGGTGATTTGATGCTTACTTAACATTATAAACAGGTAGCATTTGTCTAAACTCTTAAATTCATTGTATCTCCGACTTCTGTGTAAGTATCAGTCTTCCACGTGCATAAGTTAATCAAAAACTGCATTCAATCTTTTATTGTCATTAAACTTCCATGGATGATCTTTTGTCCCAAGAAAATGTCATTGTCTTTACCTACAGATTTTTCATTGAAGATAACGCAGCCTCTAATTAGCTGAGATCCTTTAGCCAGTAAATTCCTATCAAATCTTGTGTTCGTACTTGGTGATTCTATATTTCTTCTCTTTGAAAACATAATGGCTGTCATTCACATGCGTCAAATTTGTGAAAAAAAAACTAACGCATTGTCTGATTTTGATAACTATAGGTACTCAAATGTTCTTAACACTAATTTAGAACGATAAGCCCCGACTGCTTTTTATTGGTCTAAATGTTGGCAAAATTAGGTATGTTTAAGCATTGTATACTCTGACACATAAAATTATATCCGGAATAGAATGTACACACCAGGTGGTAATCAACATCAAGCTGTTTAGCAATACAAAACTTATTGTTTTCATCTTTTTCAGATCGATTTTTGAAATGACGATTTATATCCCAGGGTCAACCTAAATTGGTTTCTAATCGATGCTGTTGAGTCAATAAATGGGCTCTGAACGAATCCGTATGCCAGAACCGATTCCGGAAATTATTATCAGCATTTTCCCACCGCTATTTTCTTTATACCCCTTCGAGCAGAACGATTATTCCTTCGAATGATAAGTAAATTAATTTGTTTGTTCGGTTCATCACGCCGCCGTGAACAGCCAGTGTACTTTTCAGAAAGGATTTATTGTAGCAGACAGATATATATTCTTTTATGTATTCTTGTTTTCCTTTTTCATTATGATTTGGTTGTCATTTGTACGGAACAGTAAACAGACATAGTTAATTAATGGTGTGGTCTTTGACATATTTAGACACGGAAAAACAAGGCCGCACGTTCCCTACCTGTTTATGAAGGGTAAGGAATGAGGGCAAGGGGAAGGTATTGTGATGATTTGAAAAAAAAAAAACTAAAAAAAAAACCAAAAAGCCTTTGTAATGAATAAAACAATGGTATATACATATGGATATTAAAAATAATAATAATAAAATCTATCAACAAAATAAATAATACAATTTAAAATAAAAAAGGGAAAATGTCATCTTGGAATGCAAACCGTTTCTGTTTATTCATCAAAGCTCTGTTTATATATCATATATATAATGTCGAGTTCTCAAAAAGAGAACTGAGGAGGCCATAATGAGTCTGCACCACGAAACATCTGATACGTCGATTTTTTTTTTACATCACGAAGGAATATAAAAATTTCGGAAAAGGAAGACCAGAAGGCGCAGAACGATCCAAAAACTGTGCCAAGCTGCAGAGCGTGCGCCTATCTGGTTGTGACCACGACGCGAGGAGAAGAGCTGGAAGTTATCGACCTCCACAACGTAAACGGTGGGGCCACTCGCTCTCCGATATACATGGATCAAGCCCGAAATATCTAGGACGGCGAGCACAATGCTAATGATGGAGGGCGATGAGCAGACTACTTACGACAACCCACGTTGAATCCAGGGTCTCTGGCCGGCTGTACCTGGGACACGCTCAACGGGCCTGGGGAAACTGGTAAGGGTCAGAAGAGACGTCACGGACTCAGTAGTATGTTTCTCACTTATTGTCCATTGACAGATGTGTGAAATAACAACCCATGCATATCAATAAAAACAATGTACAGTTTCAGAAGATAAATCTGAACATCAAAACCAAGGTGCTGTGGAGCTAGCACAATTTTATATTTTTGCTAATATTTTCGACATCCAGTATTTGTAATTTTGATCTGTCCCGTGACATGAAACATCGATATATTCAATCCCTTGTGATTGTTGATAAATACTTTCAACCTCTCCGGTATCATTTTCCTTTTCATAGCTATGTTAAAAAATTTTGTCATCTTCATTTGATAAATGGCATGGATTTTATGATGTACATTAACTTTAAGAAAACAAGAAAAAAATAACTAGATAAGTTTTTATTTTATATAATAATACCTTTTTATGTGACCTTTTATTCAACAACCGATCCTGGTATATTGACTTTATTAGATGACCTGACCACACGAGAATATTACTTGCCGAAACACTTGCTGTTTAATTCCATTGTGCTCCCTTCGTCAAGACTACCATATTCTTTAAAATGCTAAAGCGTTTGAAAGAGTCAGTATTATAAAGTTTCTAAACTACTAGGAAGTTACACCTAAAATTATCGTTAATTGTTCCTAAATTAGCAAGCTACTACCGGATTATTAATGTATTTTGGAGCAAACAGTTATAAATATATAGTACCTAGCTATACAGTTTTTATCAATGTACTCGGCCATGGCTGGTGGTTTGAAGATCAGCTGGGACATTTAATATCTATTCATCTTTAATGTTTCAATTTCATTTACTTATATTTTCCTCGAGTTTAATATTTTTATTGTGAAACTGTTGAATATGTTTTAATTTACGGCACCAAATGCGTATCCATGCATGAATGCTGTTTCATTTGCCATTGGACACCCCCCCCCCTAGCCAATATTAGGATACTTTTTTTTAAATAAAATTTTGTAGACACTGCTGCATTTTAAATACATGTATGTGTAATTACATATTAATCATCTTGTGATAAAAATTACCAATATTTAAAAAAATGTATAATAACATAGGTAAGTGTACTGTACATACACTTACTAAAACCTTTAACTCTGAAACTCTAAAATGAAAAAAATGAAAGCGGAACACGGAGACCTTTGGAAAAGTGCATTGAGGGTAAAACAGGATGTTCAAGAAGAAATAATAAACTTAAGCTCTGATTGAAATTGAATAGTTTTCAGCTGCTTATACACAGGACATTTTTTTATTTCGATGGTTTGAGAATGTTCACGTGGTAGACACTGTTGATTGATTATCAATTCCCGAGGATTGTCGTAACCAACATGCCATGTTTTAATTTCATGCCACTGTACAGGATATCAACATGTGCTTCATGTTCTAAAAATATTACAAGAATGACAAGCATTAACTTTATTCAATTACGGGGCTACTGCGCCTTCCCAGCTAGACATTTCTTTTGATTGCTATGAAATCCTCAGTTGTCTCCTAGATTTTGCATTTAGGCCCTCAGCATCGCTGACGTGTCCTTGAAGGACGAACCAGTTGTATGATGCAGTTTAGGTCATTGCTGACACTACGATATTTTATCTAATGTTTTAATAAATGGTCCTATTCTCTTGTTTGTCTTTCGAACAATCTTTGTAAGAGAAATATTTAAATTCATTTTAACAATAACAAGAATAGGAATCAATAGAAGATATGACTCTGGCACTTAAATGAATCACAAACGCTTCAAGGACAACAGATCAAAACCAGAAAGATAGACTCTAATGTACCATTTACAAGTGTATATAGCCTTTGTGTATCTGTTTTCTGGCAGGAAATGACACTCCTCTTGATAAAGTGAATTCTGAAAACTTTTATTCAAGTGAGCATTGATCAAAGTTATCAAACATAATGAGTCTAATTTGACAGCAATGGCCTATTTTTTTAAACATTGCCATTAAGACGTTATGTTCTTGGGTTTTATCTTATCTTTGTTTAACACAATTATTACTCGCTCTATCATACCGACAATGTCTCTAAAATACGTTTTCAAATATTCTATACATGCCCACGTAATAGATATTCATCACAGCAGGATACATAAGAAAAAACTCAGAATGTAAAAGGATTACTAGATATGTCTTATTTGAATTTTCAAGATTACATAAGGTTTCTTTACTGTAAATTAAACGAGATATAAATGCTTTAGAAGACTTATATTTGGTTTAACATCACGAGCAAGCTTCATTCTACGCCAATTTAATAATACCAAAATGCATTCCCTAGCTGTTTCAATTTCCTTTGTAATGTTGGAAAAAAATTGTTTGTGGTCTTACATATCAAAGTGAGTATCTAAGCAATCATATGCACAGGGACATCTCTCACAGTAAGGTTTTGCATATGGTAAATATGTATACATGGAGAGAGATGGAGAGATGGATTTTTTGTATTGTCATCAGTTATGATAAAGCATTCATTTCCTAATGAGTCTTTCAAAAACGATAACAAAGTGACATCCACATAAGGGATATTTTTGATCAAAGACCTTACAAAGCCTTTCAATTTTACATTTACCATACAACGGCATTGCCATTTCTCCTTATCAGATATTAATTTGTTTAATTCCAGCTTCG